TCCAAAAGTAACATTTTCAAGTTTTACCTCTGGTGTTGGGTTAAACACAGATTAGGGTGTGTGTTTATTATTAATGGACACTGATAGTTGATCAGTTTTGTTTGAAAGTCCTCTTATGTTATGATGGTGCACCACAGAATTGTTATCTTGATTGTATTCTGAATTTAGAACTGGTTTATTAGCATTGATGTAGACATCTTTCAGGTATTTGGTGACAGATTTGGGCTTAAGCCTAAAAGAAGGGTTAGATCTTACATCAGTGATTACAGGTATCCAGTTTGCACCTAATCTAATTAGCAGTGAGTTCACAAGCTTCTACTTGCCTTCTGAATTAAGTTGTAATCCGTGTCTGGTATGATCATTCCTATTTCAGGATGAATTGTCAGTTAATCCAATATGTGATTTGTCTGCATTCCAAAGCGCACACTCAAGTAGAATATTTCCACTCCCCACCAACTTGTCTATATTGGGCCTGTCATGGTTGCAAAAGGAAAGTACTAGAAATCTGGTGACTTTGTAGGTTATGATTGCGTAATGTCATGAAAGAGAAATTTATGGGTTTTTACTTGTTCAATAAGCTCCTGATTATGAGTGTTTGGAATATTCATGCATTACTTCTTTTTTAAATAAGCACAGGTGAAATAGGCCTTCAACTTACTTGTGGGGTGGGGGTGGGGGTTCTAAAGAAGATGGATGAAAATCATAATAAAATTCAAGTGACAGTAAAACAAAGGCTTCGTGTACTTAGGAAATTTGAGAACAAAGAATGGGCAACAGAATTTATAATAAAAGTATGTGATAGGGATTGAGTGATTCCATCCTTGAAAGAACACCATATACCTTGCTGACCTACTGATGGCGTATTTTGGGCATAGTTTTCTGGGAGTCCAGTAACACTGGTTTGATTATGGGGTAAACTTTCTCCAGAGCTAGTAAGAAATCAGGAAATCAGAAGTTCATGTCATGGTGTGTGCTATGAGAAGTTTTGAAAAGATTGACAGTGAACTGAAAAATGGCTTCAGAGTGGTGCGTGTGAAGTGGACTTCCGGCACATGACAGACGGACATTGTAAGAGCTGCCGTGAGACAAATGACAGTGAAGTTCATGCTGTCATGAGGGAGAGTCTAAAGAGATTTCAGAACAAGTGAGCATTACAAACTGTTTCGTAAAAAAGGTCTGTTGTGTAAGAAACGTTAAGCAGTTTGTGAAGTTCTGTGAATGCACCAAACAAAATAGTTTGGATTAACTCTCTTTTTTTATTATCTATGCATCTTCTACCCTTCATTAGCCCTGATAATCAATACAACAGGTGGGAAAGGGAAATTCTTGAAATCTCTTAACTTTTTTGGTTATGGTTGTAAAAGAAAAGTTGTTTAACTGTGATGTCTTCGTTATTATTGTATAAAATATGAAAGACATTTTCTTGAAATCAGTTTGGCTATTATTCTGTAATTCATACTCATGTAATTCGTATTTGTTTCAACGTAAATAATTACACGTTTCCCCAGCGCGTGGGGTTTTATCTAATTTTTTTTCTACATTATTTAGCTTATTTAAAAACTCTGGTTTCCCTA